TCATAGCTAATAATTAATTATTCACATTGACATAGATCTATAATATCCTGCTTTAAAACCATTTAAAGTCACACCAAGCCTGATTTGATTTTCCACTCATTGCAGTTGCACTGTCACCACAGAACAGTCCATCAGTTAAAATCATTCATTTTATTTATCCTGATTTGTGTAAGCAACAAGTGAGATTATAAAACTTCTAGCTTACATACTTTATGCATGTATGTATCATTTTCTTTGTAATATTTGACCATAATTGACAAAAGGTACCTTATGGCTGGTAGTGAAATTTGTCTTTCTAGCCTAAGAAATCCAACATCCTGAGCCCTATTTATCATAAAATTAATCCACAGAATGCAAAAAGTTACCCTGAAACTTTTAGAAACCATGATTGTCTAACAAAGCACTCACAGGTTGATATTTGCCATTATTAAGATCAATTTTAAAATCCGCCATAAGGGCCCTCTTGTCAATTATGGTCACATATGAGTAGATCACCAAGCCCTGATCCGGCTGGAAGAGGAAGAGTGGAAGATGCAGGAGGTCCAATTTTCCCTCCTGGAGGAGATTCAGCTGTAATCCCTCATGAAGAGGCTCTGGCAATCCTTCCAGAAGGGGCTCCAGCAATTTCTCCTGGAGAGACTCTGGCTTTTTCTCCTGGAGGGGCTCTGGCAGTCTCTCCTGGAAAGGCTCTGGCAGTCCCTTCTGGAGGGGCTCTGGCTGTCGCTCCTGTAATTCCTTCTGCCCCAGCACTGCTTTTGCTGCACCAGCAAAGGAAGCTCATCATTGCCCAATTGAGGGCAGCAAATCGCCAAATCGTTAGTCTTTACTATGATGTACCAAATTATATTCCACAATAGTATCAAAGCTACCAAGGAGAGCTGGCAAAGGTAAGGGAAGGAGGCAGAGGCCCTTAGGATCAGGAGGAACCAAAATTATAACTTTTATTAACTTTAGTTTAAAAACATAGATGTAGATATAACAACAAAATAGTCAAAATATCAATGCAAAATGCATCAGCGTAAAGCCAAGATGAAAATACATTAACAATGCCTATTGTTCAGTTGACAAAACATAAATGCCCCAGTGCTTTAGTTTCATCCTAGACAAAAAATACAAATTCTTAATGAATGAATGATTTAAAAAATAAATAATACCTAAAAAGCCCTTGTTATGGACATACTGATTAGATAAATGAACCTGTACAGTGCTGTCATTCATAATCTATTAAAAACATAAAGACATCTTTTTGTTTGCTTACTAATGC